ACATATTGGAGAATATACCAAGACAAAAACCAAATCACATTCATTGATATAATAAAAGGAATTATACCAAAAGACCTTTATGATCATATGAAATGTTACACAAGAAAAGAAGAAAATTAAAAAAAATATTATGTAGTGTTATGGAAAACATGAATGTTCTAATCAAAGAAAAAATATGGAAAACACATTGTCAGGAGGTTATAAATACAGAAATACATTTTGGTATAAAAAAACATACAGTGAACCCTCCATAAGTGCACCCCCCTTGGGAAATGGATGAGTGTGCATTTATGGAGGGGAAGAATTTTATTGGTTGCACGTGATACTAATAAAAATAATTTTAACATATTAGACTAAAAAATTGTTTCATTCATTGTCCTAATTGTTCTTTAGAATTTTCTTATTTTATTTTTGGTTACTTTTATTAAACAAATTTTTAAAAAAAATTCGTGATCTTTTATCCTTTGTTTAATCCTTAATTTTATAATATAATTTTCTCCATTTGTGTTTTTATCATTATTATTCTAATAACTCTTTGTCACTTAAAAAGAAAGAATTAACAAACGTTCACTTAATCCTTTATAAGCAACAGTAGCTTACTTAACCCTTTATTTTCCATTACTAATATTAAAAAAGATGTAACAAAGATAGATATAAATAACGTTTGAATTTATTTAGCAAATAAATCATGTGAAAGTCACGGGCGTGCATTTAGAGAGTGTGGTTTTATATGAGCGGGATGGGGGAAGACCGTGCAGTGCAGAATATAGAGGGTGTGCATTTATCTCTAATTCCCGAGGTTAGGAATGAGACATAGCGTGCATTTATGGAGGGATGCATTTATGGAGGGTTCACTGTATATGAAAAGAAACAAAAACAATAATAACAATAATAGTCACAATTATAATGATAATAATAATAACAGAAATAACAATAAAAATATTAGCAGAAATGTTAATAAAAAGAAAAATATAAATGATAATAAAATAATATTATCAAATTGGATATCAAATAATATTAAATTTGGAGTCCTGTGGATGTCTTCGTGACAATTCACTAAATTTTCTTGTTGAAGTGTGGTTACAATTATTAAATGTTATTCTTAGGAATTAACAGCCGCATGGAAAGAAAGAAAATGCGGTGATCTAATTCAATTGATTTAACCCATGATTAGGTTCATCTTCCAGGATGCATTTTTTTGTCCTTGACATAGAAATTTTTTATGAATTTATTTCGTATATGGGCAGACAGTATTTGTTTCATGCACGGGATTTTTATCTCAAAGAAAAATTTAAAATCTCATGACAAAAATTTAAACTTTATTATATCCTCAAAACTTCAAGATCAATGAAAAACAATCTGATGTTTTTACCATTCACTTAAAAGAAAAAACAATGTGATTTTTTTTACTTTTTCCATTTCTCTATTTTTGTAATTAAATCAATGGCATTCATTTAATTGACAAAGTGTTTAATAAATCGTTATTAAAAGTAACGTCCACATGTTAATAATAGGATAATTATTTTATTTTATTAATCATCATTCCAATTTGAAACCTTTAAAGAGTATCTTGGATAGAAGCGAGTGAGCAATTGCAGATGAATGTCTTGTAATAGTAAAAGGAAAACAAAAAGATCAAATAAAATTACATGAATGTATTCTTTGTAAAAAAGGGTAAAAAAAAAAAAATCAAACGAAAATATTGAATGACAATGCAGTCTGAGGATACCAGCTGCAACTTTTGACAACGGTTGCTATCACCTTTGCGTCATATAAAAATGATTGCAACCGCCTCTACGACCATTTTGTTTCCTTTTTTGGATTGCAACATGGAACACTAATGCAGTCTTGTAAAAGTAGAAAAAGGAAAATGAATGTATTATAAAAATACAAACTTGAACATTCTCTATCAAAAAGTCGGTATAACACGACTAGTTATATATATTATTTTTTAATAAATGTTCGTTATACAGAATGACAAGTTATTTAATTAAAAAAAAATAGTGTTCGGTATAACAAAAATCCGTTATAACGAGGTTTGACTGCTAGTTTTCTTTTGTTAAATTTAACTTTTTTTCTCGGTCCAATTCTCATCTTCTATCTGATAATTTTTGTCCAGGCATTGCACATTCATATTATCATATAACAATTTCATGGTCACTAAAATCTAGTCGCAGCTCAAATCTAGCCGCGGCTAGTCGATTAATAATGATCTGCGAATTAAATCACTATTACAGATAATAATAAGTCCTACTACTTACTGTATACTTTCCCTTCATAAATTCAACCTACTCCTTTGTTTTTTATTTAGTTTAAAAAAAGGTATAATATTATTAAAGCAAAAAAAAAATATGAGAAGTCCAGGCAAAGATTTTTGGTTAAATATGAATACAGATTGTTCTGACGAGTCTGATGATGATGAGGACTACATTCCAAACGGCGATGTAATAGAAGAACGCGAAGATACTAGTGCAGAATCTTCTTCTATGGAAGTTGATGAAGAAGCTGAAGGAAAAGAGGAGAAACGAGAAGAGAATAATTATGATTATGATAATGGTCAATTATAATTAATATGTTTATACATTACATTAAATTTTTAACAACGTGTAATCTATATATATATATAGAAGGAAATAGTTCTCGATCACCGACGTCAAATAGACGCGCATTAAGGTCCAGAAATGGCAATGGGGTTATCGTCAATGGTCATACTAATAATAATCCTAATCGTAGCAATGGCAGTATTGCCAATAACACAACAAGTCGTTACAATGTAAATAAAAATTATATTTATATATATATACATACATATATATATATATATATAATGATTTGAGCTATTTTATTTTAATTTTAGTTTTTAACTCAAAGTCCAATGATAGGAGGTCCTTTCAACAATTCAGCTCCAAGTAAAGATGTTTTCTTTTTCTCTAATTTTTGCAAGACAAATGAGTACTAAACTAATTTTTTTACCCACAAAAGATCATCAGCTTAAGAAATTGGATGTTCCATTTCAAATATTTTCAGAACCTTTTAATCGTTATCATGATGGTAAAAACAAACTGTTCACTATTAATTACTATGTAAAATCAATTAACATGCATATAATAATTACAATTAAATTTTAGATCAAGAAAAAGAATTACAATCATTGGTTAGATTGGAAAGGCGTGCAACAAAGAAATGTCATGAAGTGAATTGTGAATTAGATAAATCAAGAAGAGAAATAGATACCAGAAAAAATAATCTAAAGCTAATAAATGATCAAAACAAATTGATTCGAGAACAAATTGAGAGTATTCATAATTTGATTATTCCAATTTGTCAACAAGTTTCTGATGAATTAGATGATTTAACTATTGGACCTTTCCTTGCAAAGTTTGTAAAAAATTAAAAAGATTTAACCTTGGTCCTTGTGTGATAAATATATAAATATTATTTGTTATTGTTGTTTTGATTTTATTTGTTATATATCATATATTATAAAATATACATTATTAAGAAATACATTATTTTGCAAAAAAAAATAAAAATAAAAAATATTTAAAAATAATTTTTCTTTACTATCATGTACACTTCATATCCTTCTATCAAATGAATTGTTTTATTTTTATTTCTAAGATTTAAATAATTTCCTTAAGAACAATCATAATCAAATAATGATATATAGAAATAAGGTTCATGATTAATCCTATTACATAGGCTGTATTCACAAATTGGGTTGGATTGGGTTACCCTACATTTTGGATTATAATGAGGATTTGCAATTTGATTGGTTAAATTAATGGACATTACTGACCTTGTAAATAGCAATGAGACAAATTCAAAACCTTTAAATAAAATGAAAATAAAGCTACTTGTCCAGAACTTGCAGTTTTGGCTTTGTTATGTGTATATTTATTTGTTCATGTAACATGAATTTGTGAATAGGATTAAGGTCCAGTATTATCCAAAATTAATTTTGTGAATACAGCCATAGTTTTAAAACTTTATATTGTTTCACTACAATGCATTGCATGTTTAATTAATATCTCTGACTCTGCTTAAAATTATCAACATTTCAAAATAGAACTTTTATTTGTTTCAATCTCTTGATGATTTATTTCAATATTTCAACAAACTGGGTTGTGTCCATCCACCAACTAATTCAGCAGTTTCTTTAATTCTCATTATAGCCACAGTGTGTGATATTTATTCTCAAAAACAGATCTAGCAATTGTTATTAATAGTGTAATGTAAGTAATATGTTTTATTAATCCAATAGAATTAAGAATTTCACTTTTAAATTTAAATTTCCTACCCCTCTTGGATCTTATTCAATCATGAATTTTGGTTGCCATTAAAGACTAGTGCCATAATCCAAAAAAGGAAAAAGTATGGTTGCAAAAGTGGTTGCAAAAGTAATTGCAACCACTTTTTATATGCCGTAAATACAATTACTACCATCATCATAATTTACGGCACTAGTCTTTAGTTGCCATCTATCAACATCAACAACAATAAAATCATCTTCATCCCATTCTGAAATATCCTTTTCCAAACCTTTACTTTGACTTGCACTCCATCAAATATTGTAGTCCCAAACATTTATCCCAAATTATAAAGACATGAGCATAGGTTTTTCAATATCCTATGCTCATGTCTTTACCATTAGGTTTTTTTTATATGATCGTTATTTAGTAAATTTTCTAAAGATAAATTATATTTTGATGAGTCAATTCTGTTTTTTTCATCAGTATTTAAATTATCTCATTGTAAAGATATCTTTAAAATAAACAAGTAATAAATAAATTGCTATGATAATTCAATAAATAAATCAAATCAAAAATGGGGCATACTGAAACAAAACCCAACAAAGTGAACATTACATGGGGCATGCTGCAACAAAACCAGACAAAGTGAACATTGGTATTACCAAATATTTCAGGGTTCAAAATTTAGTAATGTGATTATTAAAATCTCCCATTTGTTATCCTCTTAATATTAAGTGATATATAGAATTACCTCTATATAAAAATAGTTAATATGAAGTTAATTTACATCAGATACCCAAGAATTATAGTACCATTAGAAGTATTCTAAAAAAGGAACAAGGTGAAAAAATTGCACCTTACATTTTCAAAATAAATGATACTCAGACACTGGAAACTTATCTAAGAAAAGAAAGAATTACTTATGAAATTTACCATGAAGAAAGGAAAATAATATGCAATAAATGAACCTTAACATCAGCTCATGATGAACCAAGAAAGAAAAGAAGACTGGCAGAATAAACAATCAAATCATTATTAATCATCATCTTCATCATCCTCTTCTTCTAGTTCTGCCGGACCTTCTCATCATTTAGCAAGGAGTCTTCTTTTTCAAATCACTCAACCTAGACTAGCTAAGAGGAAGAGAATTCCTCCAAAAGCCACTCAAGCAGAAGGATTATTAGTCATTCAGAAAGATTTAGCAGGAAGTAGTTCCTTCTTTTTAGGTTCATTCTTAGAGAAACTATGAGTAAGGCCAACTTCTTTCTCAAAAAGATATTTTCTTATTCCTGCTTCAGTGAATTCAGTGCCATTTCCATAAACCCTTCTGTCTAATACTTTTTTATTATCATTAGAGTCCATTTTACCTTCCATTTCACTTTTTATCTTTTCTTTTTCAGCAGGATTTTCCAGTGAATAATTGACAATGGTTTGAATTACTGTCTTAGGCTTTTGAGTGAAAAACCAAGTTAACTCTTTATTCTCCCCACTGCCTTTTGGATAAATAGGTAAATTAGCATCATTGGCTAGATTATTTTCTAAATAAACTAAAAAACTACTTTTATTAGAAAGGTTATTGACTTTATCTGCAACATTTTTGATTGCACTAGCATTTGAGAAAAACTTATCTGAACCTTCTATATCTCCCCATTCATAAACCAGACTGGTAGGGATAATGTCAATACCAAGAGCTTGGCGAAGTTGACCATTAGTAATTCTTTTTTTTATTGGTTTACTTAAATATGCTTTGATTTGTTCTAGTTCTGACTTTTCTTCCACACTTAACTCTTGAAAAGTGAAATTATTTAGTTCATTTTTAACAGCTAATAAGTAGTTTCATAAAGTCTCTTCACCAAAAATCCCCCCACTAGGGGTGACTCTCTTTCAAGACTGTAGTCTTCCAATAAAACCATTTTCATCCAATTCCTTTCAAGAGGTATATTTAGGAAGTTCACCTGAATTTGCTTTTTCTCAGTTCTCCAAATCAGTTCTATAGATTTGAGTAGTAAAGGTGGAATCAACAAAAAATTCAGGCTCTTTTTCTTTTTTCTCAATTCAATCTAATAAACAATTCATGAAGATTAAATCTGCACAACTATACTTTTGATCACCTACAGGAGACTGTTCATAAACTACTTTGAATTGTTTTCTAACTTCTACCAGATTATTATTGCAAAGAGTTTTGATTTGGTTTTCAAAGTCATCTAACTTTTGTTGAGCCTTATTTTCTGCAATAGTAATTTCTTCTAATTTCTTACCTCATTCACCTTTCAGGGAAGTAAAAGCATCAATTTGAGCTTGTGCTATTGGTTTCATTTCAACATACTTATTGATTACATCAGTAGTAATGGTTTTTTTGTCATATTCAATGTATTGAGTAGCATTGGTATCCCAACCAGTTTTTTTAGAAGCATCCACCATCTCTTTATGTGAAGCAAATCCCTTGGCTTGTCGCATGAAAGGTTCCCAAGTTTTAATAGCAGACTCAGAAATTTTCCTAATAATTGGCTTTCATTCATGAGAACGCTCCTTATAATTAATTCCATCGGCTTCAATTATCTCAATTGCTCTTTCTAAATAAGAGCATGCCATAGCATCAACTAAACGATGACGCTTCTGATAAGTAAGTATTTTGGCTTCATAATCTGAGATTGGTTCACTCCGAATTAGTCGCTTTGTGTTTCCATCTTTGCTTATTACTTCATCATGTGAATTAAATTTCACACAATCAATATAGTGCCATAATCCAAAAAAGGAAAAAGTATGGTTGCAAAAGTGGTTGCAAAAGTAATTGCAACCACTTTTTATATGCCGTAAATACAATTACTACCATCATCATAATTTACGGCACTAGTCTTTAGTTGCCATCTATCAACATCAACAACAATAAAATCATCTTCATCCCATTCTGAAATATCCTTTTCCAAACCTTTACTTTGACTTGCACTCCATCAAATATTGTAGTCCCAAACATTTATCCCAAATTATAAAGACATGAGCATAGGTTTTTCAATATCCTATGCTCATGTCTTTACCATTAGGTTTTTTTTATATGATCGTTATTTAGTAAATTTTCTAAAGATAAATTATATTTTGATGAGTCAATTCTGTTTTTTTCATCAGTATTTAAATTATCTCATTGTAAAGATATCTTTAAAATAAACAAGTAATAAATAAATTGCTATGATAATTCAATAAATAAATCAAATCAAAAATGGGGCATACTGAAACAAAACCCAACAAAGTGAACATTACATGGGGCATGCTGCAACAAAACCAGACAAAGTGAACATTGGTATTACCAAATATTTCAGGGTTCAAAATTTAGTAATGTGATTATTAAAATCTCCCATTTGTTATCCTCTTAATATTAAGTGATATATAGAATTACCTCTATATAAAAATAGTTAATATGAAGTTAATTTACATCAGATACCCAAGAATTATAGTACCATTAGAAGTATTCTAAAAAAGGAACAAGGTGAAAAAATTGCACCTTACATTTTCAAAATAAATGATACTCAGACACTGGAAACTTATCTAAGAAAAGAAAGAATTACTTATGAAGAAAGGAAAATAATATGCAATAAATGAACCTTAACATCAGCTCATGATGAACCAAGAAAGAAAAGAAGACTGGCAGAATAAACAATCAAATCATTATTAATCCTCTTCTTTATCTTCATCCAATTCTTCTTCTAATTCTTCTAATTCAGAAGGAGCATTTCATCATTGGAGAAGGGTTTTTCTTTTGAGAATAGCTCAAATAGTTCCGGCAAATAACAAGAGTAAACCAAGAAAGGATAACCAGTGCCATAATCCAAAAAAGGAAAAAGTATGGTTGCAAAAGTGGTTGCAAAAGTAATTGCAACCACTTTTTATATGCCGTAAATACAATTACTACCATCATCATAATTTACGGCACTAGTCTTTATATTACAACATACTATGCTCATAAAAGGGTGAATTTTTACATTTTAAAAAAAAATAAAAAAAATAATCTCTCTTATATACGTATATATTCATATATATTAAAAAAAATATTTTCCCAAATTATGCAAGCCATGTTAGAACTTACTAATTGTATATTAGAATTCCTAGTTAATGACTTATCTGAAAAAATCAGAAATTAACTAAAGAAAATCAGAGATTAACTAAAGAAAATCAGAGATTAACTAAAGAAAATCAGAGATTGACTAAAGAATATCAGAGATTTGTTAAAGAAATCGGAAATTATTTAGATAATAATAATAATAATAATAATAATAATCAGGAATTATTTGAATATGAAGATTGGGATATTGAAGAAACTGAAAATCAACGTGAATTCATTACAGGAATTTATTGTGTCATGACAAAATTTATATTAATATCAATATTATTTTTACTCTTTTTTATTTTTAATATAAAAACTTTTCAAATCATCTTTTTAGTATATAATTATTTTGAATTGTATTGTTTTTATTATTATGTATTTTTGAATTGTATTAAAATTTACGTATTGTTTAAACTTTATATATATATATCTTTCTTTAAATCAATGTTGGGGAAACAAATGCCTGGTGCATCCAAAATGAAACATAATTTATTCTTCATTATTTTAATTATCATTTATTCCGTGATAATGGTATCTGGAGATAAAAAACTTAATAAGAATTTATGTAAAAACAAAAAATTAACAAACGGTCAACAAATCCATCAAGGATCTTGCTCAGAAACAATACAAGGAGAAATCCCATCTGTCAATAAAATGCCATCAACGTTAATAATAGAACCAATTAATGGTCAAATA